AAAATCCCGACTAGGATCACACCCCACACAGAATCAAGCAACTCCTTCATAGAGGTGACCACATTCTAAAAAGAAAAAGAAAAAAGAAATTAATAAATACCCTTACCCCATGACTCTTGAATAATGTGTTTTTAAATGTATGAATAATGGTATATAGTGAACTTGTTGCTCATAACTCATGAAATGCATCTTTGCAAAGACTAAACCATCACACTAGATGAGATCAAAGTTTATTGATCATAGCTGCTTGCGTTTAAAATGAGGAAAGACCATCTTTGTTATTCTTTTCATGTTCTGAAATAAGTACATCCCTTGCGATCTCTTTTTAAGCTTGAATAATTTTTCTTTCATGAAAAAAATCCCGACTAGGATCACACCCCACACAGGGGGCAAGTGAAATTTCAATGATAAAAAAAGATGATAAAGTCGTGAGAAAGCCAAAAGGCAAAAAAGCCTAAGAAACTCAAATGCTAGGAGGCATGCCCAAATCACAAGAAAAAGTAATAGCCAAGATAAAATGAAATAGCCAAGATAAAATGAGTATGCTCTAGCAAAGCAATGAAAAAGAAAAAAAGGGCAAATAAAAAAAGAGTGGCAAAAGAAAATATGAATGATGTCAAGAGTCAAACTGTTGATAGTGATCCTCAATCTTTGAAACCCTAAAACACTTTTTGAGCCTTATGAATCATTTTCTTTCATAGCCAAAAACCATAGCCTACGTTACGTGCTTGTAGAAGTCCTTTCTAATCAAGTAAGCAAGTAACCTAGAACAATAAACAATGCTCTTAAAATGCAAAGAATACTTTATCATAAAATTCATGACATCAAGAACAAACTACTCATTATTCTTCATGCTGATAAAAATGAATGTTCAAAAAAAGACAAGTTTTTCTTATACAAAACCTCAAGCTTTTTCTTGAGCCCTCCACCTTGAAAACCTATAAAAACAAAAGGTAATCTCATGATGTATTTTCATCGAAGACCTCATTGCCAAACACAAGACCAAATAATCTCTTTTTCGAGAAAGAAAATAACCAAGGAGTTACAAGATTTCAAAAGCAAATCGTTTTAGACTCACATTGAAGGAAAAAGACCAATACAAGGGGGCAACATTGTGTTTAGAAGGAAAAATTCTAGAAAAGGAGATGTTAATTTCTTTCAACAAGACAAGGGGGCATTTTGGTTTACAAAAGACAGCTTGATCCTTTCAGCTAGTGACACCGAATGTTTTTAGCAGTGAGATGAGGGGTAATGAATGATCTTCCCAAATTATTTGACGAGTCAGAAAATCTTTAGCAAGCAAGTGGGTCATGATGGGCACCACAAAGGTTGAGTTGTGCAAACAAATCTGGAAAAAAGACCTATATAGGCTAACTCGGGTGGGCTAGAAAGCCAAACGACAAAGATGACTCAAATCAGATAATAAGATCTCACCAACCAAGCAACAAAAAGACTAAAAAGAAATGGGGGGCTATATTTCAAATCAGGTGAAGATGCATGCATATTATTTAAACTTTGAGACATTGTATAATGAGTTTTGCAAATTTCATAAGAGAAAATTATAACGGAATTCATCAAGTGGAAGGCCAACTTGAAATGACGAACATTGAAATTGCTTTTGAAAATTTTTCACTTTTGAGATTTTTTCAACCTAGGCAGGCTGCCCATGAGAATTAGGCCACTTGAAAAATCTTTGTATTTTTTCACCACCTTTCATTTTCCATTCCCAAGGTAATGCATTTTTTATCCTATCTCCTTTTGAATGCACCTTCAAGCCCTCATCTCATTTCTTTTCGAGTGCGCCCTCGATCATCAAAGGTAGTGCATTTTCTATCCTACCTCCTTTTGAGTGCGCCTTCGAGCCCTCAACCATCCAAGGTAGTGTGTTTCCTACCCTACTTCATTTTGAGTGCGTCTTTGAGTCCTTGACCATCAAAGGTAGTGCATTGTCTATCCTACCTCCTTTTGAGTGCGCCTTCGAGCCCTCAACCATCCAAGGTAGTGTGTTTCCTACCCTACTTCATTTTGAGTGCGTCTTTGAGTCCTTGACCATCAACATCAAAGGTAGTGCATCTTCTATCCTACCTCCTTTTGAGTGCGCCTTCGAGCCCTCGCCTTATTTATTTTCGAGTGTGCTTTCGAGCCCTCGACCATTAAAGGTAATGCATTTTCTATCATACCTCCTTTTGAGTGTGCCTTCGAGCCCTCGACCATTCATGGTAGTGTAAGCTAAAAGTAGTGGAGGAAATTTATGGTTCATCCATATCTGATCTTCGAGCCCTCGACCATCAAAGGTAATGTATTTTT